TTTGTGTAAACTACAATTATTGTAAAGTCCAACATTCCCGGAGCAGTTTCCTCTGAAACAAAGAAATTTACATTGTGAATAAAATGAAGAAAAACATTAATTTGGCATCTAAGTGTATAGTGAGTTAGGGAATAAGCACCTCCTACAATTTCTGGATTTCTGTCACATTTTGTCCTCCTTTCTCTTTTCAATGCTTGCTTTCATTCCAGCCATCCCAACTGTAAACAGAAACCAGTAATGACTGTCTTACCTAAGTATCCAGCCATCCGGTGTGTTTGTGAAAATGCCAAACAGTGTTTTTAGCTTCCAGTGACACTCAAAAGACCTTGTTTAGCAGCACATTAAAGAGTAACTACACCCTAAATCTAGTGGAATTCATCCATCCATTATCTATACACCGCTTAGTCCTCACTAGGGTCGTGGGGGGGCTATAGCCTGTCCTAGCCGACTTAGGGTGAAGGCAGGAGACACCCTGGACAGGTCACCAGTCTATCACAGGGCTACACTTAGAGACAGACAACCAAGCACACTCACATTCACACCTACGGACAATTTAGAATCACCTTTTTTGGACCTTGTGGGAGGAAGCCGGAGAACCCGGAGAGAACCCACGCTGCACGGGGAGAACATGCAAACTCCACGCAGAAAGATTCCGGTGCCCCCACCGGGACGCGAACCGGCAACCTTCTTGCTGCGAGGCAACAGTGCTACCAACTGCGCCACCTTGCAGCCCTAGTGGAATTGCAGTGGTCATCATGCGAGTGGCAGAGTTAGGATATGTTCCATAATTCTGGCTCTGTCATGCATAGACAATGGTGAACATACCATGTTGTCTGACACAGCATTGGAGAGAATCCCATCAAGAGCCTGGTTAAAATTAATCAGAGCATTTCCATGAGCACAGTAGTAAACTAACATGGCCTCTGTGGATAAATGTGTCCTGCTCTGCTCACTATACTGAAGAGAGAAAGAAAACAGCTCAGGCAATGCCAGACCAATGAGTAGCTCACAAAGGAAGAAAACAAATCTTTGTCTGAAGGAAGACTTGACAAAGTTCTTTGAATGAAGTGTGAAACTAGTTGGCAGAGTTATTTTGAGAAGAAATAAAGCTAAACTAACTAGCTGCAGAATTGAAGCTGCAGCTTGTCCTTGCATTGCGTTTGTATTGTTCTGATGACTCACTCTAGAAACAAACAGTGCATGCAATGAATCTAGCTCATAAGATCTGCATTATTGCTTGACGTATGTTCTTGGATTTGATCTTATACTGTACCATAAATTAAGAGCTTCGTAATTAACCCCAATCCACAGCTTCATCAACAAACTGAGCTGACTGTGCCCGACATCATGTGTTCCCCAGGACAAGTGTGTGTTTGTAGCATTAATATGTCTTTGGGCTGTTTTAGTACCACATTTCACTCCAACACTGGCCTTCAGCAGCAGTTTACTTATCTGTAATGAGCTGTGTTTCACATTTTCAACCCTTTCGATGGCGTTTGAGTCATTTTTTTTACGTGAGCAGCCCCAACCTGCTGCTTTTCATAAATTCACTCTTCTCCTCCTCTCTGTTGGTTAAAGGCAAAACATAGCAGCTCCATTTGGACACAGAATTGGCAAAGAAGCCCACACAAAAAGCTGTCAGCAGGAGATAAGTCGCTGCTCACTTGTGTTGCTGGAAATTGCCACTTTGACTTCCAGAATGTATTTGTCGCTGGCAGTGTTGCAACGAGCGGAAGAATAATGGTTTAATTTTTTTTTTTTTTCCCGGCGATCCCGTCCTCCTGACGCCTCATACATATGCAGCTTATGAGCTGCTCCTTCTGGTGATTCTGCAGCTCATGAAAACTTAAAATTCTCATACAACACAATATGTCAACTGTGGATCACTGGACAGAAATTACCGCGACCAATGACATTTACTGGAATGATTTTCTTTTATTTTTCTCTGGCTTGGCTGCCTTGTTTTACGAAGAATTGTTCTTTGACAGAAAAAAAAAAACGTTGTGGGAAAATGTTTGTTCCAGCAGACCCCAGTACTGCTCTAAAGCTTAAGGCCCTTTGCATGTTTAGATTCTTGTCCGTCACAGAGGTGTATGACGGATCACAAATGCATTCTGTCAGCATGGCAACCAGCCCAAACATACAATTATCATAAGAACTATATTTAGCCACAAAAAGAACAAGGAGTCTTGCACCAGATATGGCCTCCACAGCACTTTGAACATCATTCTTGGTGTTACTTTTTAAATGTACAACATGTTTGCATGGTACTGTATTTCCTTAAGTAGTTTATAGCAAAGAGTAGCTGAAAAGATGGATATGTAGGTGAGCAGTTAGATGGCTAGTGGTGTGACAACTAGCAATTATTTCCTCCAATATTTTATGTGACTTGATTTTTTTCTGCAGTATTGAGGTCGCTGTACCGGACCATCGTGGGGAAGGGAGAGCTGAGCAAGGCAGCAAAGCTCTCAATTTACCGGTCAATCTACGTCCCAACCCTCACCTATGGTCATGAGATCTGGGTAATGACCGAAAGAACGAGATCGCGGGTACAAGCGGCCGAAATGAGTTTCCTCTGCAGGGTGGCCGGGCGCTCCCTTAGAGATAGGGTGAGGAGCTCAGTCACACGGGAGGAACTCGGAGTAGAGCCGCTGCTCCTCCACATCGAAAGGAGCCAGTTGAGGTGGCTCGGGCATCTTTTCCGGATGCCTCCTGGACGCCTCCCTGGGGAGGTGTTCCAGGCGCGTCCCACCGGGAGGAGACCTCGGGGAAGACCCAGGACACGCTGGAGGGACTATGTCTCCCAGTTGGCCTGGGAACACCTAGGGGTCCCCCCGGAAGAGCTGGAGGAGGTGTGTGTGGATCGGGAAGTCTGGGCGGCTTTGCTAAGGCTGCTGCCTCTGCGACCCGACTCTGGATAAGCGGGAGAAGATGGATGGATGTTATTATTGTTCTTAAGTGTCAAAAAATACTGGAAATTCCTGAAGCTCCAGGTGACATCCTAAAATCTCTCGTTTTGTCCGGCCCTCTCTTCTCACCCTCCTCCAGTGTAGACTTAAAGCCTGTCAGTCAGGAGTGTTAGGATTGCTATACACCAGTCTTTTCCATTTCTCTCTGTCGTCTTGATTTTGGCTTGCTCGACATTGTGTAGGCTGGTTCGTCTCTCGTGGAGGTAATCGTCAATGTACTGATGCCGTCTCTTTCTTTATTTTCCCGTAGGTTTTGTTCCATAATTCTATAGTTGTAGGCTAACGCTATCAGATGATCCTGTGATGCCCGTCTAACATGTCCACACCACTGGATCTGGCTCCTTTAGATCTTTTCTGCTATTGGTGTCATTTGTAGCTGGGTGCAAAGGTCCACATTCTGGATTTTATTCATTCTTTTAACTTCATTCATCATGTGTATCACTTTCATATCTGTAGGTGTTCGTTTCTTTATGTTGTTCTTAATAATGTTTGAAGTCTCACTTCCATAGACCAAATGTGCCTCAGTATTGTATCACTTTCTTGACTTTCTTTGGCACATCCTTATTCTTTAGTAACCTATACATGAATCTGACATGTTGTGTGTATTTCTTTATGCGGATTGATGTCTGATGGGTCTGTTAGTAATTGTTCTAAATGTCTGGTGTTATAGGCTTTTTCTGAGCTTACTTTTCTTGTAGGGTTTAGCCAAGTAGAAGCTGAGCTTCTTGTTTCCCTGCAGGTGTGGCTCAAGCTTCAGACATAGTGTTTCCCACTTCACATTCTTTGCTGTTCCCTTTACTATGTTTACTTTATTTCTTTTGCTTTCATCAACCAGCCTTGTTTCAGGTGTCTTATGCTTCATTAAGTTATGAAAGGTGCTGGACTTTTCTTTCATCGCTTTCGTTCCACCATGGTGTTGTTTTCTTCCTCGTGCATATTTGTAACATATAGAGTCGGTTACCACCTTGTGTAGACGTGCCTTACAATTCTCCCAAAGGGTGCAGATGCCATTTGTTTTGATGTCACCTGCCTGTTCTCTGTTTAGGGTAGATACAAACCTCGACTTGTTGGTGTCATTCATGTTGCTGTGATTGACTTTCTTCACTTTTATTCTTGGTCTTGACTTGCAGGGTAGCAACTTGGTCTTTGTTATCACAAGCCTATTGTCTAGGTTGAGTGACACTGACGGGACAGTCTTTACATCTGTCATTGTTTGTTGGAAACGGGTTTATCAAGATTTTAAAAGAATTTAGTTCAAAAATAGAATTTCTTTGTCATTTGACCTAAAGTCAGGAGAGCTCATTAAGCTATGAACAAGTTGAAAAGAAACTGAATTGTTTATTTTATATTGAGATCACAGGAGAAACGTATGTAACAGCGACTCATTTAGTTTGTCTTCCAAGGTTTCATCCATTTTGATTGTTCAGAGTCTCAAGCATCTCAAAGACATGCTAATCGCTGAGGACACACACCACCAGTATTCTCTAAGATCACAGGCTCGGTTGTGTAACTGTCTTGAGTTCGCAAATGTATACATTAGCTATATTAGCACACAGTTTCTACATCCCACCAAGCAACAAAAATGAAATGCTGAATGATTATATGATTATAATTACAGACCAAAGCCAGGGAGATTCAATTTAAATTTAGGTTTAAACTTCACCATTAACTCTGATAAGGGATGGCAGTGATGTAGTGAGTGAACTGAATCTTTGTTACTGTCCTTTTGACAATCTCTGTTCGTGTGCCACAAGACAAACTGGTCTTCCTCAGTTGTTCTATGCTCCTAATGAAAGATATTTGTTTGATAATGAGACCCCGCTCTTCTCTGTAATGATGGTGTCAGACTCTGTCACACTTTAACAATGACTCTAATCTTGTCCTTTTGTTCTGCTTCTCATCCATCCTGCCTTCCGCTCATCTTCTGCTCTTCCTTTCTAATTGATTATTCTCTACCAACATCTCCCCTCTCATTTTTCCTCTCTGCACTCTACTTCATTTCTGTCCTCCATCATCTCTTCTCGCTCTCAGGTGAACAAGCAGCAGTTGCAGGCGGTGAAGGATCGTTTTCTGGCCTTCCTCAACGGGGATACGCAGATTGTGGCAGATGAAGCGTTCTGTAATGCCGTGAGAAGCTACTATGAGGTACAATGATCTTGTGTCTTGTAAAGAATCTTCTTTTTTCTTTCCTCACAAAAACAACCATGTATTTTTGGCTTTATGAGTCTAAGGGGGATTGGGCTTTCCTCTGGCATCGTCTTCATTTCTTTCTGTTTGTGAGCCGCAAGCAAACTGACAGACAGAAAGACAGGTGGAACAGATTTGAAGAATTATTTATTTTAAGAATAACAGACAGTTCATTTCACTGGTTCCCCATTGTGCATTCAGCAACTGTGGTGAAATTTCATGTATTTCATTGATATTAATGATGACATGTAGCTCCTGGGATATGTTCTTTCTACATTGTGCAGCTGACTGGGGCTGGTAGGAGATATAGGAGACCTTACAATACACCCACAAACATAAGCTCACATTCAGCAGTCCTATATTGGCTGTTGGTGAGCGTGTGCAGCAGCTGGCAAATGCATTTGAAAAAAGCAGCGTATGGGGACAAGGGACATCTACCTAATTTTCCAGAAAAACATTATTTAACTTGGCAAACTCACTTGGCAACGTAACCTACAAATTATATAAACATTAACTGTAATAAGCATTAAGTTAGCATGTGAAGTATGTAAAATTATTATTCCCTCTCATGTCATTGATTAAAGCTCTGAACATTAATTTTTGTTTATCAGAGAAGAGAAGTATTTCCCCTTGGATGTTTCACCGTTTTATTGCTTTTATAAATGAAATCATGGTCAATATAATTTGACTTTTTTGAGAATAATTTGCAAAAAAAACCCTCTTTGATATCGAAGTGAAAACAGATTTTTACAACCTAATGTACATTAATTCAAATCTATAGTTTTAAGTAAGTGTTTGCATAAATATTCACCCCCTTTAAAGTGACTGACTTAATTCAACAGAGGTCCAGCTAGCTGATGCCAGCAGTGTCACCATTAGTAAAATGGAGATCACCTGAGTGCAGTTGATGTTTCAAGTCTCTGCTATAATTGCAACATGAAGACAAAAGAACACTCCAAGCAACTCAGAGAAGAGATCATTGAAAAGTGTAAGTCAGGAGATGACTACAAAAAGATTTCCAGCTCACTGGACATCCCACAGAGTTCAGGTAAATCAATCATTAAGAAATGGAAGGAGCATGGCACTTGTTTAAATCTGCCTAGTGCAGGCCGTCCTCACAAACTGTGACTGAGCAAGAGCAGAAGACCGGTGAGGGAGGCCACCAAGACACCTACGACCACTCTGAAGGATTTAAAAGCTTCAGTGGCTCAGATTAGAGAGACTGTACATACAACAGCTGTTGCCCGGGTTCGTCACCAGTCAAAGCTGTATAGGAGAGTGGCAAAGAGAAAACCACTGTTCAAAAAAAAAAAAAAAAGCTCATAAAGCCATGTGGGAGGTCAAGGTCAACTGGAAGAACGTTCTTTAGTTTGATGCGACAAAAATGTAGCTTTTTGGTCATCAGACTAGACGCTATGTTTGGCGAACACCAAACACTGCACATCACCACAAACACACCAACTCTCACGTGAAGCACGGTGGTGGCAGCATCATGAAGTGGGGATGCTTCTCATCAGCAGGCCCTGGAAGGCCTGTAAAGGTAGAGGGCAACATGAATGCTGAAAAACATCACCAAGTCTTGGAGGACAATCTGACTCAGTCTGCAAGACAACTACGACTTTGAAGTTTTATTTTCCAGCAAGACAATGACCCCAAAGTACACAGAAATGATTCAAAGACAACAAGGTGAATGTTCTGGAGTGGCCAAGTCAAAGCCCAGATCTCAATTCAATTGAGAATGTGTGGCTGGACTTGAAAAGAGGTGTTCACACCCGATCCCTGTGCAACCTGACAGAGCTTGAGCTGTTTTGCAAAAAAGAATGTAGAAGAATCGCTGTGTCCAGATGTGCCAGCCTGATTGAGAACTATCCACACAGACTCAGTGCTGTGATTGAAGCCAAAGGTGCATCTACTAAATACTGGCCTGAAGGGGGTGAATATCATTTACTTTACCTGAAATATTTTTCATTAATTGAAATTATTTTGTAAAAAATCTGTTTTCACTGTGATATTAAAATGTTTTTTTTTTTTTTTTTTTGTAAATTCAAAAAACCCAAATTATGTTGATCATGATTTCATGTATAAAAGCAATGAAAGGGTGAAACTTCCAAGGTGGGAGAATAGTTTTTATAGGCATTGTACATACTTAATAATTCTTTCTGTAAATATAATCCTGTCCTGCCTTAAAATAGTTTAGATATAGCTTTACACCATTGTTTACTATAGATGCAAATCTATGAAGTCTGCAGCTATTAATTATTTTAATAATAGAGTATTTTATTGATTATTCTGTCGATTAATGAAGTAATCAGATAAAAATAATCATTATTTCATTCAATTGCTTTAGCTTAATTTAATAGTAATGTGTCGTTTTCTTTGCATATTATTTTGCTATCCCTGCCACTCATCATTTTCTTCTTTGTCTGCCTCTATCTCCATCTTGTATTCCACGCTTGGCATGCACATTCCAGCATCAAAAGCGGAAGTGAGCACGCTGTGCAACAGAAATGGCCGTGCTGGCAGAACACAGGCAGACAACGCGCTGTATCGTGCATATATAGTACAGTATATAATGGATTAAACAAAGCCTCAAGGCAGAAAATTTTGCCTTGAGTTGCTCAGGGAAATGCTTCAGCCCTAACTGTAACGCTGCACAAGAAGTGATCAAAAAGTTCTGAGACAGTGCATGTGCTGGAGCATGTCGTGGTCACACATATGCATGTGTGAGCAGCAACTGTCATGAGTCAGGATGTTGTGTGACACCATGCTATTAACAGCAGGACCTAAGGACCTGTGTTCCACTCATTTTTGTAACCACGGTTGGGTGCGCATTTCTAATTTCTTCATGGACCACAAAGTGGAGCAGAATGGAAAACATCACATTCTGTATTCATCAGCATCCTGAATGATCCAACCTTCATACAGGGGATTATCGCTGTTGACAAGGGATGGGTCTGCAGCTACCACTAAGAGAACAAACAGCATTTTTTTTTTTTTTTACTGTGGGTGCACCAGTGGCATGCTTGTTTACTTCAACATTGATGTGGTTGTTCCTCAGGGTTTTGTCCCCCGGGGTTGGACTGTCAAAGCAGATCTCTACTGTAACTTTCTGAAGTGTTGGAAGGAGAACATTCTCTGTAAATGACCTGAACTGTGGTGGCAAATGGATACTCTAATTCACTATGTGCACAGTCACAGTGTCGTGGTTAGGCACAGGTTTTGTGAGTGCTGCATTATAGACTAATGCAATGAGGATGATGGCGAGCAAAGTGTTAATCTGACTGAGAACTCTAGGACACTACACATGCCGATGTGGTGGCGATCTGTCAGTCATAAGGTAATCAGTCAGTCACTTAGTTACCGCCCCCAAAACAAAAACAAAACCATAAAAAACATACACAAAATAAACAAGCACCCTGCTTTGTCATATGTTTTACTCTATATGGCACCATAGTTTGCAAAATGAACATGCACTTAAGGGTTTATCATCTCCAAGCAAATGTACTGATGCAATCTTAAATCTATAGTCTCAAGGTTCTTTGTGGCTTTAAACTGTCCACTGTTAGGTTGTGGCCCTGGAAGCGTCCTGCCTTGGACGTCCTTCACACTTCTGGTGACAGAGTGGTTGTTGAGCTCCTATGACACAAAGTAATTTCATCTGTTGCTAGCGTCAGGCTGAAACAGATTAGAAAATCGATCCACCAGCTGTTCTCTATTGTATTGGTGCTCAATGTCACCAATCTTTCTTTCTTTTCCTTTTTTTTTTTTTTTTTTAAAATTTTACCTAACTTCCTCTGCTCCCCCCCTTGACCACTTCAGTATGAGTTTTTTCACTAAGGTTTTTTTTGAGACATTACTGAAGAATTACTCATGAATTTTGGATCATGTAATCGTTACGTAAAAGTAGTTGAAAGCCCTGTGATGGACTGGGGACCTGTCCAGGTGTCCCCTGCCTTTACCCTGAGCTAGCTGGGATAAACTCCAGCTCTCCCATGACCCTAGTGAGGATTAAGCGGCATATAGATGATGAATGGATGGATTGTTTAAAGCCACACAATATTTTCTTTTCCTTCTTTTTGGATTGTGTTTCTCTAAGGTTGTCAGTATTTGCATAGGAACCTGTCCTCTTGCTTTTCCAAAGACACTGACACAAACCCTCCCCTGTCAGCTTGTCTTTCCACCTCTAAACTGTGGGAGGACAGCTGTGAGAAGAGATTGCAGTGAATTTCCTCACTCCTTTTTTCCCCATTTTTACACCCTGTCTCTCTGTTATCTCTCACTCCTCTGCCGGCATCTCTCCCTCTATCGTCCCTCAGTTTTGTGTTCCCCTGCTTTATAAGCGCCTATCATCTGGTATAAGATGAAGATCTTATCAGCCGCTTGCAGCTCGTCTCCTTAATTGCCAGCAAGTGTGAGACGAGAAGATCTCATGGAATCTCTCTGTGACAGAGCTAGTTTCGCTGCAGAAAGCCGTCAGGCCAAATGATCAACGTTACATCATGTGCTCCTTAGTGGACATCAGTGTTCGGATGAGATCAGGCACAAAACACTGTTCGTGTTTCAGATGTCCTCCTGAGACTTCAGTGTTGGTGTCAGAGCATCACTTATGTAGTATCACCACCCTGTCCACATGTAATGACAATGCTGTGGATTTGAGTTGTTTACCATGAATTGTGTGAAGTCACATCAGGTGTTCCACATGAGGGAAGAGGGTCGTCATCGTGGAGAACGGTGTGATCTATTTTTGACTTTTCACCCTGCTCCAAATCTGCCCGATTGACTGTTTAAAGATAGTAAATCCAATGAGTGTGGGAGCTGCTGCAAAAGAAGCATAGAATCGTGACGTTGGCTTCATGACTGTCACAGGTTGTAGCTGACTGTGTATTTAAAGATCATAAATGAGCTAATGTTAAAGAAAAGAAAAAAAAAACATCTGTGTATGTAGGTGCAAGTTATTC